AAAATGTTTTCAGAGCTTTGTAGTGAAAAATTTAATGATTACATTTTAAACTTAAATGAATAATTTTTAAACATGGAAACATTATAGAAATAGAAAAAGGAGAAAGTGGTGCTCGCAGTCCTTAGTACACACCTCCAGCTGTAGTAGCACATTTCAATGAAAATTAATATTTTCAATAGGCCTACGTTTCTTAATTATAAAAATAATAGGTATTTAATAGAGAGGAAAGGATTAATTAGTTGCTAGACTTAGAGATTAAAACTATAATGAATGATTCTGATTTTCTTGAGCCTTTAATTTGGAAAAAGTTAGTTTTTTTACTCTGATCTTTATATAGTTAGATCCTAAAAATACAGATTAAAAATTAATTTTAAAACTTTTTAACTCAATACAAAGAATCATATGTACCATGAATAATTGCACATTCTAATTTAGCTTCCAAAAATAGTATGGCTTTATTGTGTTAGTCACTAAACAGCAATCACATCCTAATGTTTTCTAGGTCCAATTACACTTTCCAAACATAAGTAGAATTGTATTAATCATTAAACTAGTTCTTAATTATTTTAATGTTTCCTAAAAGTTCTTTTATTAAAAAGAAACATAAAAAAATAGCATATGTTCACTTCAGAAATTCAGCAGAGAAGTACATAAAGCAGAATGTGAAAATCACTCTTAATGCCCACCAATATTTCCCTATTTCCCCACCCTACCCCCAGCATTCTCGCTCCTCAGAGATAATCATATCTAATACCTTAGTATGTATCCTTCAAGACCTGTTTTGCAATATCTCTGTACCCCTGATGTCAGCATATTTACTGTGGTATCCATTTCTTTGAGAGGCCCCACTCTGGTTGGTGGTGACTTTGTCCGTCATTGACTTGTCAGCACTGTCATCAGTGAGGCGTGCCTGTGAGCGTGAGTCAGACTTGCACCCTGGCGTCTAATGGTTTTCACCATACTAGGAGGGAGATGTATACAGTGGTAACTATAATACGAGATGAAAGAGATGTAAGAGAGGAACAGACAAAATGCTATGGGATTCACAGAGTGAAAAAATACCTTTGACTGGCCAAGAGGTGATATTTGAGCTCTACCCTGAAAGACAGGCAAGGTTTGCATTGGGCGCAGGCAAAATGCAGATGTCCTGGCGGGAGAAAGGCACAGAGATGCGAGTTTACAGGGTTATTCCATTTTCCTAGACGGGAGCATGCATGTATGGGAGTAGCAGCAGATAAATATGCAAAGGTAGTTGGGGGAGGACTCAGAAGACTTCTGTAATAAAACTTCGAAAAGTTTTGAACAGGACACCGACTAAAGATGTGTTTTAGGAATATTAATCAGGTATTGGAGGGAGTAGAGTGTCAGTCACAGGCTTTGCAGTTATTTGAATGAAATGTCACAATGAGGTGTACTGGCCATAGAGCTGTTGCTTATAAAGGACCTGTAGGTTTTAGCAACTACCACATTCCGTCAAATCTGAGAAGGCCTTGATTGTAAGACACACCATATTTTATGTGCCAACGAGGAGGAAGAAACACCAATAATTAATTTGAAGATACCACCAATTATAAAATGCATTCTTATTTCAGAGATCAGAATAATGAAGGAAATATATGTCATAAAATCAATGAAATAGGGTCATTCTGTGGGCTCAGGGAAAAGATGGGACTTGCAACCAAAAAGAGAGTTGGGAAAATTTTTTTTAAAAAAAGGGGGAGCATGAGGTCAAAGACAAAAGTTAAAAAGTTGACCTTGAAGAGGAGGTGAATGCATGCATCTTCCCGTCATGAAACAAAGGAAGGAATGAGTAATGGCTCAGGGACGTGTAGAAGTTGAGAAGCTAAAAAGATTAACTCATTAAATAATCTCCATCCTGGCAAAAGAGAAGGCAAAGTTATCTGCAGAAAGAGTGACAGCGATGGGTTGAGGGCTTGGGACCTAAGAGTGAAAAGGTTTCAGGTAAGTGGGGCATGAAAGTTGAGTACAAAAGACAGTTGGTTAGAAAGGACCAAAAGAATTCCCATCAGAAACAAGGCGCCCAGTTAAGGTTGGAAAGCACAGATGTATAAAGAAACCAGTTGGCCCTATTTATGACTTTGTCCGGGAACACTTGGTCCCCTGAGAGAAGGATGGAAGAAAACAAACGGAAGGTGCTTTCTATAGGGTAGGACGTTGGCTGGACAAGTATGGTGGAAGGACAGAAAAGCTAAATAATCTGTTTCTGCTAACAGATGTTGATTTGGCATGCCATGGAGTTCAGCCTAAGAAATGAGAAGTGAGGCCCAAAGAGGAGGGATAGATAAATGGAGATTTTTGGTTTTAATTTGTTGGTATTCTGGTAGGTGGAGGTTGTTAAGAGATTAGAGACCATGAAGAAAGTGAAGAACAAATTGTTTTGAAAAGGAGGAGGAGTAGGTAAACTGAAAGTTGATTGGGGAATTTCAGAATTTAAGATTGTGGAGGCAGAATTTGAGGGTTGAGCTTTGAAGATGGGCAAGTAAATGTTATCTTTTAAAGCACAGATGGGTGTATATCTCTGTGTATCTTGGAAACCTCTAAGGATCTCTGTTTATTTCAGGATGAAGTCTTTACTTCAGACCAGGCTTTTCACAAACTGGGTCCTTACTACCTCTGCAAGCTAATATCTCCTCATTTCTCAGTATGAACTCCATCTTCTGACTACACTGAACTCTTCTCTATGCCCAGAATCCTTAAGGTTTTTAACTACCATTTTGCCTTTGCATGTGCTGTTCCATTTTGTATGAAATGCCTCTTCTCTGCCTTGCAACCTCCTGCCCATCCTCAAAACCTAACTCAGATGGCATTCCACTCCTCTGTGACATCTTTCCAGGCTCCTGCCAACAACCCTAAGCACACCTTCCACTGTGCTCTGTCCATGCACCCTGTGGCATTTTACCACAGGGGTATTTATTTATCTGTCTCTCTTCAGTAGATCATGAACTCCTTGAAGCCAGAAACTATCTTAATTATTTTCTTTACCCACAGTGACAAGCACATATTATTATTAGGTACTTAAAATCTTTTTTTTTTTTATTTTGATTAAATGAACTACCTCCCAGATGTTACCGTGCATTCAGGTTACCTGGAGATCTTGTTACAATTCAGATTCTGATTCAGTAGGGCTGAGGCGACATCTGATTCTAACAAGCTGCCAAGTAACAGCCGTGCTGCTGGTTCATGGAGCTAATCCAGAGTGTCTTTGGCTAAGTAAATAGTAGAAGTGGAGCAGTTATGAGGGTAGTGACTTGGAAAAATCCTCAGTATGAACATTGGAGTCCCAGAAATGATAGTGAAAATCCTACAGGAAGAGATGCTTAAGTAAAGCAGAAGACCATGGTGGAGGGTGGTAGTTGACGAGACTGGGAGGATATAGCTGTATGACTCATGTTCTAGAAGATAAAAAGTGATGAGGTGGGGCAGCTGCAGTGAGTCAGGACTGTGAAGGTGCGCCCTCAGGGGAGAAGGTTTGCGAGAGGAGGGGAGTCAGGTGTCAGGTTTTGGGGTGATTCCCAAGAAGGGCTAGGGGCCTCCAGTGCTCATTCACAGTAGAACGGTGGTTCCCCCAGTGCAGACAGAAGTGCTCAGGGAATAGGAAAGATGGGATTATAGGGGAAGGGAAGCCTCTGAAGAAATGGTAGGTACTAGAATTTGAGGAGGGGTCTTTTTCTGATCTAAAGTTTCCAGGTTCGAAGCATGAAAAATTCTTTTTCTTTTTTGAAACTTGTGGGTGACAGGAAAAGTAGTACTAATAAGTATTCTGTTCCCACATGCAGTTTTGCAGGTCTGACGAACCTAAGGATGGGTTCAGCAAACCTAATTTTTTTAAGTACTAGAGTAGGCCGGCTGCAGTGGCTTGTGCCTGTAATCTTAGCACTTTGGGAGGCCAAGGCAGGAGGATCCCTTGAGGCCAGGAGTTCAAGACCACCATGGGCAACATAGTGAGACCTCGTCTCTACAAAAAAATACAAAAATTAGCTGGGCGTGGGGGCACACACCAGCTACTCAGGAGGCTGAGGCAGGAGGATCACTTGAGCCCAAGAGTTTGAGGTTGCAATGAGCTATGATGATGCCATGGCACTCTAGCCTGGGCAACAGAGTGAGACCTTGTCTCTAAAAAAAAATACAAAAGTATAATAATGCATACTTCTTTAACATATGAAAAATACAAAGATAAAATGTTTAAATTTCTTCCCACTAAGTCCCTTCCCCGACAATGAGTAATCAGTATTTATAGCCTGATGTGTACTCTTCCAGCTTTCATCTACGCAAACTTGAATATACATAGAAATTTTAAATTCTGTAGCAGTTTTTTAACATGGATATTATTCTGCAGATTGTTTTTCTCACTTAGAAATATGTCATAAACATCTCTCCAGGTCAATGGATAGAGCTCTAACTTACTTTTTCCTAACATTTTTAATAGCTGTGTATAAATATAGATGTTCCATAATTTGTCCTGCTGTTCTCTTGTTGATGGACAATTGGGTAATTTCCAATTTTTGCTACTACAAACAATACGACCAAAAAAAATTAAAAGTCCTATTGTTACCAGTGCCTAAATAACATGACAACATAACTCTGTAACTTGAATCATTCATACAAATAAAAAATAACCTTTATATCAATGACACCTTTTAATGAAGCACAGCAGTGTACACCTGTGCTGTCACATACAATAGCCAGTAGTCACATGTAGCTGTTTAAATAAATTAGTTAAAATTAAACAAAATCAAAATTCCATTCCTTAAATTAGCCTCATTTCAGGTGCTCAGTAACCATGTCTACGTAGTGACTACCATATTGGACAGCATAGATGAGACTATTTCTATTGTTGCAGAAAATTCCGCTGGACAGCCTGGACTAGACGCTTGAATGTTACATCTTAAAGAAGAACATATTTTTCAATGAGTTAGTGTTTTAATGAGAGCACATTTAAGAAAGTAAAAACTCTGTGTCTTTATTGGTTACCTCTGCAGTTACTTCAATGAGAATCAATACCCAGATGAAGCAAAGAGAGAAGAAATTGCAAATGCTTGCAATGCAGTTATACAGAAGCCAGGTAAGGTAGCAAGCACAGCTTTGCTCTGTGGTGCAGCTCTGAGTTACAGATCAGCATTTAGGACACTCAGTCTCAGACTATCTCAGCTTGGTGCTCTCTGCTCAGTCTGTGCAATCCTTCTGCAGGTGGTCACTGCCCTATCCTGTTCAGACAGGTACTCAAAATCACTCACTCACACTGGAGAGTTTCTAGGAATTGACCCTACATGAGATAAGAGACCTTGAAATTGTTATCTTTTAATGTTTAAGATTTCTCTTTGTAATAATTTAGCAGAAATATATCAATTCCAAAATAATTTTAAAGTTTTAAATATTTAAGCAAGTTTTGTTAGTAAAAAGATTAAGATATTTTTATAACAATTGTAAATTGTATAATTCTGTATTCCTTTTTGGGGAAAAAATTCTTTTGGGATTTGGCTTCTATCTCCTTCCCACATTGAGATAACTTCTGCTTAGCTAGGAAAAACTTAAGGCAATACCCTTTTGAAGTCCTGTTGTTCCTGTGCAAGTCAACAAAACCGCTTAAATATTTCATGTGTATTTTCTTCTATGTGCTCAAATATTGCACACTTTATAGATTTTGTTACCAGAAACCATTTTCAGTTAATATGATCCAACTGATTTCCACTTGGCCAGTCATTTTAACTGGTTTAAGGGCTATATAAAAACGTAGCATTGTTTTAGAACAGTTAAACAGTAATGTATTCTCTCTTACCTAGAAGGCAGGCTTCTAGCAATCTAGACCCTACAAGCTCAGCTCTGATGACAGATAAGTGAGAGGAATCTGCACCCTATTTCACACGCCAAAAGTCCCAGCCCTAAAGCCATGCAGGAACTTGAACTCTCCCTGGAAAACATTTTACCCCTGTATCATCAAGGTTGTAACAAACCTTTCTGGTTTCTCCACCCACTGTGGATTAAAAGCTGAAAAAGAGAATAGGACAGGAGAGGAGGGAATGGTACAGGTGCGTCCTAACTGGCAAGGATGGTGCTATCTGTAAGAAGTCCCATTTGACTTCAAAGAAGACAAAATGCAACCTGAATTGTGCTGCGCATTCCAGCAGAGTTACAGTAATGGATGGTCATAGTGGCCTTTAGCCGTCAAGAAAACATATATAATATTCTCTGTCTTAAGACAGCAGGAAATTAGTTAATATAAGGACTTAAAAATGTAAGTAAATTTCTGTTATCTAGATACTTGATAAAAAATAACTTACTCCTCTAGAATGATGCTAATAAATGAAGGCTACAGGGTACTATCACATGAACTTTGATCTGGCACCTAGATGACTGACTATGACATTCTTTAATACTGTGTTTGGCTTTTTGAATTGAAGCATATTGTTTGCTTCTTTAGTTGCTACTTGTGTATTCATTTATGGGTTTATTCATTCAATAAAAGTTGTGTACATGGTACTAGGTAATACTAAAAATTTCCCCTTGCATCTGTTAATTTGGCAAACCAAAAGCAACTTTAAAAAAAAGTGTTATTTCTTAAAGCTAGTTCATTCTTGGATCCCAGATGTAGATTATCTAAATTTTATTGCATGCATTCACAGGCAAAAAACTGTCAGATCTGGAACGAGTTACCTCCCTGAAAGTATATAATTGGTTTGCTAACAGGCGGAAGGAGATCAAGAGGAGAGCCAATATCGGTAATGTATCAGCGTGGCTGCTTTCTCACATGAAGCAGGTCAGGAACATTGTGTTTCTCTTAAGAGTGACTTTGGTTTTAGAAACTGCAAGTCTGTATGATCCTAACTTTGAAGCCTAACAAGCATCACTCTTACATTTTTCTTCATTGTATTTTTAATAACCCCAAGTTAGTATTATTTACACTATTTACATTGTAATAATAATATTGTTATTTATAAAACTCATTGTTCTTAAAGTTCTAGAATACAGGAATAGACATGGGCCCTGAGCAATTGATTACTCCTGTACTACATATGAAAGATACCTGTAGGGTCTTGTGAGAGGGAATGTGATACCCTAAGCTTCTTTGTTATTACTGGGGACTTAGATATTAGAAACAACTGATTAATAGTTTGAATTGAAAGAGATTTAATAGACAAGGAAAACAGCAAAAGGCAAAGATAAGAACATTTAAGAAACCAGGGCCAGGTGCAGTGGCTCATGCCTATAATCCTAGCACTCTGGGAGGTTGAGGCAGGAGGTTCACTTGAGTCCAGGAGTTCGAGACCAGCCTGAGCAAGACCCCGTCTCTACTATAAAAAAAAAAAAAAAAAACCAGAAAAATTAGCTGGGCACAGTGGCATGCGCCTATAGTCCCAGGGACTTGGGAGGCTGAGGCAGGAGGATTGCTTGAGCCCAGGAGTTTGAGGTCGCAAAGTTATGATGACATCACTGCACTCTAGCTGAGGTGACACAGCAAGATTCTGTCTCAAAAAAAAAAAAGAAATCTGAATTCCCTGATTTAGTCATTTCACAATTTTTACATGTATCAAAACATCACATTGTAGATATGTACAATTTTTATTTGTCAGTTATACCTTAATAAAGCAGGGGGAGGGGAAGAAAATACTAGAACTGTTCTAGGGGAAACTATGAATACAACCAATAAAGGAAGAAATGAAGGATTTTTTTTCCCATTCAAAACTGTAGCCAAAAATAAATAAGAAACTTAAATTGATGAGATTGGGGGGGTTGGTTTTGTGCTTCTAAAATGGCATTTTATTTCTAAATGTACTTCTTATTCATCATCATAGCTCTCATATGCTTTATAAGAACCCCAATACAGGAGGGCTTTTTAAACAGTTAACATCTCAAACTTACCATGCGTAGTAGCAGGGACTCCAGAATGGCAAATGTGTGACCTACGTGCAGTTGAATTTCATCCGTCTACAGCTTAAACAACTGTAGAGGAATATAGGTTCTTATTAATAATTATATTCTACTTTCCTCAGCACAAAATTGAGTGTTCTGGCTATCATGATAAGGTAACAGATAATTTAGGGATCTATTTGCTTTTTTCGAAGAAGCAGCAATCCTGGAGAGTCATGGGATCGATGTACAGAGCCCAGGAGGCCACTCCAACAGTGACGACGTCGACGGGAACGACTACTCCGAGCAGGTGAGCAGCCGGGCGGCGGTTGTGGTGACTGAGCAGTGGGACAGTGTGACAACTCAGTTCCTGGGTGTGGCTGTCCGGGGTGGGGGAGGGGAAACAGTCAATGTCCCTACACTCTGCTCCTGTGTCTAGTTAGGTTTTCATGTAATTTGAAAGGAATGTGGTAAGATTCAGTTGTCCTGTTGAATTTGTGAGAAATCGTTATTCACCCACATGGATTTATTGTCATACAACAGGATACTTGGCAAGTACGCAATGGGGAGGAGGAGGAGGGAAGAAGTTCAGAGGGAGGCAGAGAAGCAGAGAAGGTAGAAGAAGAGAGGAGGATCTGATCCAAACAAGCAAGTTACACCATCCACCACACACACTCAGTGTTTGAGAAGTACTAGGGGTGGCGGGCAGCTGCGGCCCGTGGACGCAGGGCACAGTGGAAGGCCCCACCCACTCCGGCCCCATTGCAGCGGGAGCCCTCGCGCCCAAGGAGTGGTTCTTCCAGAGTCTCTCTGGCACATCGACACACGCATCCTCTCATAAACGCAATACCTGCATGACTTCTCACCTCGCCCTGATTTATTCTGCATTGCTTGGGGGGAAATGTATTTAATTGTAGCCACTGCATGGAATAATTTAGTAACTAAGACTGTGGGAGTTTTCCCCCACATGAGTATTGACAGATTTCATTAGATTTCATTAGAATTTCAGTAGGATTTAAATTTCATTTTCATCTGGAATATGCAGAGAATGGATGGTCCCTTCCCCTAGACCCCAGCAAGAAAACTTCTTTCCCATAGGGTCTACTCTCTTCTCCTGGCAGCCTCTGTTCAGCAGCTTGAGCACAGATGCTCCCAAGAGTGTGTGCGATTCCATGCTGATCCCTTTTTAAATTCTAAAACCTAATCTGTGAAGGTCAGAGTGAAACTGATACCCACGCTTCCCAAGAGTTACCTTTTTTCCCCTTTAGGACTCTAAATCATAGCCCCCCCATTTTAGTGGAGAGAATGTTCTGTAAGTCTTCCTGGTTGGAAACATTCCTATTATTTTTCAATCTACCAGTATAGATGGATCATTTCCATCTTTTTTTACAGATGCCTTGAGGGCAGCACATCCCATGCTTTTTTGCCCTAAGGGACTTACCCTTTCCAAAGCTCTTTGATACAGACTTCCCCTGAAGATATGACAGGTGAGAAACAAACCCCCTATTTGTACCACCAGGTGCATCCTGCAGTGCCAGCCTCCTTCACAGCTTTGTTGTGAGCTGCGCAGGGAGGAGAGCCTCACACTGGCCTGGCTGCCTGCAGCAGGAGAGCTCGCACCTTTCTCCCAGAGCCATTTCTGGCAGTGACACTTTTGTCTTCTTGTAATTGAGGATTCTTTTTTTCATTATTTACAAAAATGCATTTTTATCTGTAAGATGTCAGTGTCTGTAGTTCTAGGTTTTGTCTAGTTTTTGCATTTCAGTGGAGATAGACCATGAATTCTAATCTATTTGTAAGAGTAGCAGCCTGGAATTCAATGGCTCACTAGCATGGCCTGCAGTGATTAGTGCCATATTCGTTACAAACAAAAAGACCCAAAAGGTTGGTCCTGTACCTGTCACTCCAGGTCTGATGATCATCACCAGCAATCTTTCTGATGGAATGAATACAATTCTCAGCGAGGAAAAACAGTTTTAGTGCTTTTTATTTGTTGAATCATAAAAATGTCAACTGAAAGTCTTCGGAGATGTATCCATTCAGTGTCTACTTAAATACTACTCACCTTTACCATGAGACCCTCCCCCACTGTTTTGTCTCCTCCCACGAATGTTCTGCCTCCCCTTGCCCCAGCATGCCTTTCTGTGCGCTAGAGAATTGTACCACTCCACCAGTAACATTCGTTTCTTATTTCTGCATGTCTAGGATGACAGCACGAGCCATAGTGACCACCAAGACCCCATCTCATTAGCTGTGGAAATGGCAGCAGTCAACCACACTATCTTGGCATTGGCCCGACAAGGAGCCAACGAAATCAAGACAGAGGCCCTGGATGATGACTGATCAGGGAGGTTAAACACGACAAGTTAACTTAGTTTAGATGTAGCACCTTAGCAGACTTTCCTCGGTCCTTAACATGTGTTCTTACAGTATAACTTGCAGTTTCTTGTATGTCAGGTAGCCGTTAGGGTCTTGTTCTGTGAAGATGGCATGGTGCCCTCAGCCTTTGCATATACTCTCTCAGTATTAATTCCCAGTAAATAATAACCAACCAACCAATCTTCCCCCTCCCAGCCCCTGAGGCTAGAAAAATCTTGCTGCTCTGTCTTAGCATTCCAGGAAAGTGCTTCCAGGTATTTAGATAGCCCTCAGTTCTCAAATATTAGGCTACGTGTAAAATCTTGGGTACCTTAGATTCATGTAACACTAGTCTGTACCCCGTTTTCCTTCCCCAAGACTGATAGGATGCAAGCTGAGGTAGTGTCACGGGAATGACAGACACCGTGTGGGGAGTATCTACAGAGTCAAAGGAACACTAGAATCCCCACCTCAGCGTGAGGATAATTGATTTCCAGCTGCAATAAGCCGTGCCTCCTTATAGTCACACCGTGGCTAGATTACACTTCTCTGGGTGCTGTGCTAAGAATGTCAATGGAAAAACTCAATCTCAGATTTTGGTTGTGGTTAACATGCCTGACAGACATCCTTTCCTCTCACAAGCTGTGTGACTTAGTAGATAAAATACTGCCTTCTGCCTTTGGGACCATAATTAAAAACAAAAAAAAAGACAAAAGTTTAAAAAGCCCAGCTTGCGAGCATTGGAAAAAAACCATGAGCTGAATGTCTAATGGATGCTTAGTCCAGGTCTCAGAACCACTGTACGTTCCGCGGCACAGTCGCCAGTGCCGGTCTGGAGGTCGTCATGGAAGTTGCTTTGCCTCCTGTTGGTGCCCCTTTTCCCTGCTACCAAAAACAGTCTTTCAAGGATGGAGCTAAGGTCAAAAATAAGTGAAAGAACTTACAGTCTTTTATCCATTAACTGAAGCCCCCTCCCTCTGAGAGGTTGACAGGATGTGGTGGTGGGATGATGCCGTCACAGATGCACACACTTGCCTGAGTAGGAGCAGGAAAAAGCAGGGGACATTCACCACTTACAGCAGGACGTGACTGCGTTGGTGTTCTCTTTACTCTGTCCTTGTAGAGGTGTGAAAAGCTATATTGCTACAGGCAATTTACTTAATAATTGGAAGCCATATTGATAATGGATGTGGTAATATTTGTAAAGTTTAATCTACTTTAAGCGGCAGTAACTAATGGAATTTTTTTCCTTGATCACATATGTAGCACTTTTGTTACTTTTTAAAGATATTTATATTTGATAAATCTTTTTTTCATTTTGAGAACTCAAAATACCAAACAGTGAACTTGAGTTATAAAGTCACCCTGTGATCACCTTGTCATCTGGTAGCAAGATGATGAACTATTCATGCATCAAAGAAAATTACATCTGCTGGCCTTGTATGAAAATGATCTCTTGGCATCCCGATGAAATGACACACTGTCACCGTGGGTAAGAGGAAACAGCCTTCACCGTAGCAGCGTAGGGTGCGTCTGAAAGAGGCACAACTGCTGTGTGTCTTCTGCCTCATTCCGTCTCTATGTGTAATGAAGCCCTGTTTGAAGGGGAGCCTGGGGCCGGCTGTCAAGCAGGGCTTCTGTCTTTCTGTCCATTACCTGAAAACAATTAGATAGAAGGAAGGTGCCGTTTTCTTACCTCTTCACCCCTCCTCCTCCACCAAATGTATTCAACTTAAAACTATTGAGAGAGAGACTTACTGACCTTCCTTGATTTTCCATTTCTCATTCGTGACATATTGAATATCTGCTGGTCTGCCTCCACGTAAGGCACACACTGATGACATCATCTCCTTATCTGTTAATCCTGCTTATGTAAGTGTGAGGAAAAGTCTTTGAGAGGGCATGAAAGTGCCACCTTATATACGTCTGTGACTTTAAAGAGCTATATGCAAGGCCTGGTCCTGCTCTTATCTGTGGATTTCAGGAGGAAGAAAAATGTATGTACTTTTTCCAGCTTCCAAGAATTGAAGTAAAACAGAGCATCATCTCTGTTTTACTGTATTACTTGAACCAACAAATTCAAGAGTAGCATTTGTTATTCTCAGGAATAACCCCACCCTCCCCTCTGCTCATATTCCTTCTTGGTTTATTCGACTTATTTCAATTAGGAGATTGTGATACCTTTCTTTCCTTTTATTTTGCTTAGAAGAAATATAACATTTTATCTTTCCATTTTGGTTGAATTTTGTCTGCTTATTCTTGGTTGAATCAGAACAAGGAGAGAAAAAATACATTTTCTGACAAGCCACATCCATGATTTATTGTAAGGAGATTATTATAATTGATAGCTTCTTTATGGCGGGATTGCTACTAGCATTTGTTCTTGCTGGTCTTTTTAAAGGAACAGACTCAAACTGTTAAGACAGCTGCCGTTTCTAAAGAAATACAATGATTGCCATAGAAGAGCTAAAGGGTTTCATTGTTCTAAGACCTTTAAGGAGGAAAAAAGGGCTTCAGAGAACAAAGGGAGTTCACATCCTTGCCGGGCAGTACCAGGCCCGATCTGGCAACTGGTGAAACTATTTGCACCAACGGAGGACAGCCTCATGTTGAACTCAGTGCGCACAGGAGGAAGGACTCTTGCACCCACAGCCCTTGCCGTCTGGGAAGACTGCTGGCCTACTCTGAAGACCCACTGCCTTACATATAACTTACTTTTCACCAAGGGTAAGACTTGACTTCCGTTGGGTCTAGATTTAAATCTACCATCCGTTTTCTGTTTGTCATCGGGGCCAATTCTGCTATCTCGTCCAGGCCACCTTAGTTCTTATACTGGCATATGGAGCTGCCACTGTTTCATTTCTGTTATCTTTGGACAGTAAACTTGGTTCTCAAGCCTTTTTCAGGTTTAGAGGTAGTATTACAATAGAACTGCTAAGCTGCTCTATTACTGAAGGGAAAGAGCTAGGCTCTTTAAACTCACCTGCCGTGCTTGCTGGTTGCTCTGTCCCTCTCCTCTCAGTCCATTCTGAGCGCTCTGTCAGGCTCTTTCTTCCTGGTTGAGGAATCTTTTAAAAGTGGGGTGGGGGGGACCTTGCCAACAGATATTCATGTAACTGGTTATTTTTTTAAAGACATTTTAATTGAATTCCTATGGTCAGATGGTAACTTCCCACCCTTTTAAAAACACCTTGCATAGGGAACTTTTACAGACGGATCATCTTAATGAGACGTCCACCTGTCTGCTGACAATCCTAACATCAGGTGGCGGCCAGGGGAGGGCAGTGCAATGTGTTCTTATCTGTTTGGACCTTCTAGTGCTGTTCAGTACCAAGTAGACATTTTGTTATTTCAGCAAAGGTTGTAATGTTAGAGTGCCTTTTAAGGCAGTTTTCTGCACAATCTCAATCCTGTAAGTGGTTGATAAGTGTAGTTAGCTTCCACCTCCCTGTGGACACTAGCCATTCACTGGGACACCCCCCAACACGTACATCCCTATGGCCCTTCACAGGGAGGCATAGACAGTGACACCATCACCACCACCAATGGTACCTTTCATCCCAGCTCTATAGATGTGACCACCTGAAAAGACATGAAGAAAATCATTAATACTGAAGTATAGAAATCTAGTGTAAATCTACTACTTCCTGGTAGATTTATGACGACAGACAGTTCGGTGATCAACAATACCTATGTTCAGATATCCAGTTATATTTTTACCTCAAAGGGGATAACTATGAAGAATTCACAGTTGTTTCATTTCTCCGTTTGGGTTTTATCTTTAAGAAATGTTGGCTTTAGAAACTTCTCCCCTGAATACCGTCAGCCACCAGGTATAAATACTTAATCAGGAATCTCCAGCCTTGTCCTCTGTCTGTGAACAGCTCCTCTGCCATCTTCTGCCATCCTCGTCTTGAGTGGATTCCTTTGCTGGAATGTTTTTATCACGTGGCAGCAGGTGGGTATGGTTCATCTTATGATACAAACACTCCTTCCTGTCTTGACCAGCTCCATGTTCCACTGACCAGCTATATTATCTGTGCCCACAGCCGTGGAAATAATCCCTTTTTCACAAATGATCCCCCACCCCGTCCTAAAAATGTGAACTTCAAGTCCTTACTCTCTTTGATCTTAAGAAGGGTTTGGTTAGAAGCAGTCTTCCCGTTTAACTCGTGGCTCTGCCTTTTTAAATTGCTTTTTGTCTTTCGTTGTTCAGAGAACCAGAGTATGTTCTCCCCAGTGAGTCTCAACAGATTCTTAGGCAATAATTTTCCTTACTGTTGATGATCTTATAGTCCTGACCCTCCACATTGTACGTTGGTTTCTGTGTTAATCTCTGTGATTTAAATCTTATGTCAGAGTGGTGATAGATTTTTGTCATTTTGTTGTTGTGATTACTGGTAATGTTTTACTACTGTATTCACTGGGGCTGTGTTGAGACCAGCCAAATCCATTTATAGCTTTACTGAGCCGGATTTATTTTTCAAGATTTCCCAAGTGAAAGTTGGGCACATTGTCTTTCGGGGGGTGGGAATGTGGGGTGGGGTATGCAGTGGGGCAGGGGTGGGAATTACACATACAAACATTCCCTTTTTTGTGTGCTCTTTTAAATAGCAAGGAAGTTTACTCAGGATTTGGGGATCAGTTGTCAGCCATATCGAGTTTGGCAAACTGAGCTGCATGCCCTGAAATCCCTGTTTCTCCGCTTACCTCACCAGGAATACCTGCGTTGTCCAGTGTGAAGGTATTGCCGCCTAATGAGAGTGGGAGGCTTTCCCAGGGAGGCAACTGTGAATGGCCAGGTTACCTCTAAGGGTTTCATGGTAGCATGCTGTCAAAGCAGGGCCCTTTCTTCTGTAAGGTGGTCTCCTAATCATGCACCCTTGGTTTCAAAGACGACTATCACTTAAGTAGAGAGATTTCCTTACCGCTCTCAAGAGACCTACCACACTAAGTTGGTAGGAAAGGCTTTTTAGATACGACGAGTCAGTTTTCTGACTACAGAAACTCCTATGTCACAAACAGGTATGTTTGGGAAAGGCTGTTGTTAATTCTCTTTATGTGTAGACTGAATTGATAAGCTGCTGTCTTGCAGGGCCAGTGGTTGACTCACCTGTCTGTGAAATGCAACTTTGTTCATATCTATGTTCCTTCAGAAGATGGAAGCTTGTAAACTGAAAAGTTTCCGTATTAGCTTCATTATTATTTTTTGGTAGGGATGAGAAAGAGCAGCCAAAAGAAAGCTAATGGTCTGACAAAACACTGGTTTTCTGTGATGGAGAGGTGAAGAGAGAGGAGGCGAAGAGAGTGAGGGAAATTGGCTGCAACCCCCTTCTTACCTTGCTGACTTAGTAGGTGCCTTGGGATGACAAACACGCGTATCTCTGAACTTCTTTATCATTCTTCCTATCACGTTGCGGGCTGAAATCTGGGTGATCCATTCAAGTGAAATCTGACTAGTATTTGACAGTTCACCACATGCACGTTGCGCACCCATTATCTCACTAGCCAGCGCTCCGACGATGCACAGGAGGATACATCTGCTCTGCCTTTCCCTCGCCTGCTACCCCTTTTGCGAGGCAGGTTTTAGGGCTGGTTGGCCCCAGTCTGGACGGCAGTATCCATGCCTGCTCTGCTGCCCTCCAGTCGGGGTCCAAGCCCCTCGGTGCAGCAGACAGCGTGTCACGCAGCTCGGCTCGCACTTGAGCAGTCTTAGG